TTCCAGCACATGGTATTCCAGCACGCAGTATTCCAGCATGCAGTATTACAGCACACGGTATTCCAGCACATGGTATTCCAGCATGCGGTATTCCAGCACACAGTATTCCAGCATGCAGTATTCCAGCACTCAGTATTCCAGGATGCAGTATTCCAGGATGCGGTATTCCAGCACACAGTATTCCAGCACACGGTATTCCAGCACACAGTATTCCAGCACACAGTATTCCAGCATGCAGTATTCCAGCACGCAGTATCCCAGGATGCAGTATTCCAGCACACAGTATGCCAGCACACGGTATTCCAGCACACAGTATTCCAGGATGCAGTATTCCAGCACACGGTATTCCAAAGGTGCCCTAACCAATGTCCTGTACAGCCACAACATGTCCTCCCAACTCCTGTACCCTTTGGCTCATCAAGACTGTGCCGACATATGATGCCTTTCTAAGCTTAAAACCTTTTGCCTCTATGCGGTCTGTATCCTTCTATTCTCTGTCTATTCAGATACTTGTCATAATGCCTCCTAACCAGATCACCAACTCCTCTGGCACCTTTGTGTAAAAAAACCTGCCTCTCACATGTCCTTTAAACTTACCCCCTTTTACCTTAAACCTATCTTCCCTAGTAATTGATATTGACCATCCATTCTATCCAAACCTCTCATAAATTTGTGAACTTCTACCAGGTCCTCCCCTCATTCCTCAACGTCCAGGTTTGTCCAATCTCTCCTCATAGCTAATACGCTCCAAACCAGGCAATGCCCCGGTAAACTCATTCTGTATCCTCTCCAAAGCCTCCATGTCCTTCTGGTGGTGTGGTGACCAGAACGGGACATGCTATTCAGTGTCTTCTCTCTCTGTTGGCACTGCCTGTCCACTTGTTACTGATCACATGGTGAATAGTTAGGGTCTGGAATGCACTGCCTGGAAATGGGATTGAGGCAACTTCAATTGAAACATTCGAGAGTGTATTGGATGTTTATCTGGATGGAAATAGTCTGCAGGGACATTGCAGAAGAGGCAGGAGATTGGCGCTAGGTAACTGAACAAAAACAAAGTTGCTGGAAAAGCTCAGCAGGTCTGGCAACATCTGTGGAGGAGAAAACAGAGTTAATGTTTCAGGTCCGGTGACCCTTCCTCAGAACTGATGGTGGCTGGGAAAACGTCAGTTTATATGCAGAAAATCGTGAGGTAGGTGGTGCAGGGAGTAAACGATAGGATAGAGCCCAAAGAGAGAGAAAGACAGTTGGACAGACAAAGGAGTTGCTAACAATCAGGCTGGGAGGGTGAACAGTTGTTCATGGGGACTGTTCGTGATTAACAACAGGGGGTGTGTAATGGCAGACTATGTGGTAACAAGGCCTGGTGTGTGGGGTAGGAGGCTGGGACATGGGAGAGTTTAGGCCCTAAAATTATTGAACTCAATATTGAGTCCGGAGGGCTGTAGGGTCCCCATGCGGAAAATGAGGTGTTGTTTCTCCAGCTTGCGCTGGGCTTCACTGGAACACTGCAGCAAGCCAGAGACAGAGATGTTGGCCAGGGAGCAAGGTAGTGCATTGAAGTGGCAGGCAAGAGGTAGTTCAGGGTCTTTTTTGCGAGTAGAACGTAGATGTTCTGCAAAGCGGTCGCCAAGTCTACGCTTCGTTTCCCCAATGTAGAGGAGACCACATTGTGAGCAGCGAATGCAGTAGACTAGATTCTGGGAAGTGCAGGTGAAGTGTTGCTTCACCTGGAAGGTATGTTTGGGCCCTTGGATACTGGGGAGGGAGGAGGTAAATGGGCAGGTGTTGCACCTTCGCTGGTTACAGGGGGAGGTGCCGTAGGGCTGTGGGGAGGTGTTGGGGGTGATAGAAGTGTGGACCAGGGTGTTATGGAGGGAATGGTCCCTGCGGAAGGCGGACAAGGGAGGGGAGGGGAATATGTGTCTGGTGGTGGCATCTTGCTGGAGGTGGCGGAAATGGCATCTGATGATCTTCTGGATGTGGATGCTGGTGGGATGGTAGGTGAGGATAAGGGGAACCCTATCGCTGTTGCGGGAGGGAAAAGGGGTGAGGGCAGAAGTGCGGGAGATGAGTCGGACCCGATTGAGGGCCCTGTTGACAACGGAGCTGGAGAATCCTCGGTTGAGGAAGAAGGTGGACATTTCAGAGGCTCCTTTGTCAAAGTTGGCCTCATCTGAACATATGCG